CTCTTCATTATAGCTTAACCAGTTATTGCCTGATCTTCTAATGGGATGAGGCATCCAATGGATGCTACACTGTGTTCCATTAATACTCCTAATGACATTGCTACACTGACATTTGTTTTCTGATAGAACAAGGCCAAGGGGGCACGACAAGAAACTAACGCTAATTAATAAAGAAGAACCTTGAAGATAACTTCTACCAGGATTTTCTTTATATTGTAAAAAGAATGATCCCGTTTTGTTATTACTATGTGGTTCAATTTTATACGTAAAGTTCTTACAGTGTTTACCACTAGTCTCTTGGTTAGTATCTTGCAATAGAACATCAATATAGTTACCTTTACTAGTTACTAGTTCCCCAGGACTGAAACCACCACACACTCCAACAGTAGCTAATGAGAGATGAACAGATTCACTGGGATATAGTTCTATGTTAATTTCCCTAATATTGCAGTTTGTTGTACCATCATTAAGACAGATGCAGACTCCAATTGGGTTGGATGCAATGAGTGATGGTTGGAAAAAACTTGGTGAAAAAGTATGAAAGAGAATATTGTCATGACATTTCATTTGGTTATTAAATTTTTTCTCAGATTTGGCTAGATGAGGGCAATCTTTAACTTTTATAGCTCTACCAAATGGTCTGTAACAGCAATCCCAGTATGTACCACCATATATATTATTACCACCAAGCTTCCCATAATTATTGTGAAAGGTTGAATTACTGCGATACCAGTATCTTAATGTGCAAAACAAATATATGTCTTCAAAACCTTCATCATAAGCATATATAGCACCTCCAACCCCCATGGCTACATTATGAGTTATGTACACTTGTGTACTGAATGAAATACTGATACCCTGACTGATCCAAATCCCACCTCCATTGCCTGGAGATGTATTATTAACAATATGACTGGGAATAGTCAGAAATGCAAGTTTTGCCTGACCTTTAACTCGCAATCCAGTGTTTCTGTTATTTGCTATTGTACAGTTGACAAGACTAATGGCTTCTTTGGTATTTTCAACAATTATTCCATAACTGCTGTTGCTTACATGGACATTTGTTAGAGTGCAAGAAGAGCAATAGTCTATGTACAATCCACCTGAATTGGCCACTGAGACATCAGTGAGGGCTATTTGTCCTGTTTTTGTGAATATACTCAAATCATCCTCGGCATTACTGATGAATACTCTTGTCAAGGATATCTCGCCAAAAGTAGATATTAACATGATATTATGTATAGAGAGTACTTGAATGTCAATAAGTTTTATTTTCCCGAGATGGTCCACATATATTGAAGTAGAACTATTTCTGCTGATGCTGGTAACGTTACTCAATATTATGTCAGTGCTTTCTGGATAATCTGACTCTTTATCGTAAGTATTAAAAATTGAAATTCCATTTCCAGCACTACATGACATGATAGTATCATTGATTGTCATATGGAAACACTCAGAGTATGTAAAGACACTTAAACAATCTCCACCTGAAATTAATGTATCTTTTAATACAACTGCATTCATTATATCTGAAACATCAATAATTGCAGTCCATGTCATACTTCTGTGATGTGCTATAAATTCAGATTGGAGAATGTTCAAAGAATAACCTGCTATAACACTGAGGAATTGAGCAGAGACTTTGAAAAGGTGAGCTGTATCTACTTTGTAAAGAAGTATACTATTGGGATAATAATTGAATTTAAGATTTTCAATGTATAATGTAGTGATGTTTGTAATTTTAACTTCTTCACAGTTTATCATTGCTCTAGATTGAAACTGACTCTCAATGCCTCTAAGAGTCACATAACTCACTCCTTTTATTTTAAACTTGTCCTTGAAGCTGTGCTCTCCTGGTAAGAAGAGAAACGTGACATTGTTGGATTCAGTTGGCCAGTGAGATTGATTAGCATAGTCACTGAGTGACTGACAGTAGTGTTGATGAACCAGGGGACAATCAGCACCAGTAGCAGTAACATAATAAATTAGTCCTTGGCCTCCTTCAGCTTTCTGACAATAAGAACAGGCAAGAATAATAAAAAGAAGATAAGTGAATGTTTCCATAATCTTGAATAGACTGAATTAGCGACTGCAGGGTCACAAGACTATTTATTGTGTTGTTTGTTACGTAACATTAAACTTTAGTTACAGCATCAAATGACAAATATTAGATTAAATGTCCACCCTAAAGTTTTGCATAGAGACTACTAGAAATTAGTCTGGCTCTCCAAGACTAAACAGGGTTAGTTGTTTAGTATTATGACTGGGTATTGAGCTCAGTTCAAAGTGTACATGTCAGTATACAAGATCATGTACATAAATTGATTCAATTAAACTGCTTTCATGATACCTACCCTAGTATAGTGTTGTCATAGCACAAGCAATTTGAAGATAAAAAGGTGTGCATATGACAAAATGCACCATGTGCTCTCTTCTGTTAACAGAAAATAATAGGATTGCCTGCACTACTTGCTTAAGCAGAGTTAATGGTTTGTCATTCATTTTATAATAGAGCTTTATAAGCAAAATAAAATGATGTCTACAAGAGTGTGTGTGTGTGTGTGAGGCATGCTATTAAAATAAGTGAGTGTAATGTATTAAGATTTGTCTAATTGAGGAATGAAGGGGGGAGAGAGAGAAAGGAGAGAGGGACCTGTGTGAAATGATCATTTAAACATCAGTCTCCATTCTTTCATATTGCACTAACTATAAACATAAATGAATGTAATACATTATGTTAAAAGGTTATGTTTACATTGGCAGTGGGTCGAAGAGGTGTAGCATAAGATGGAACTGGAGGTAGTTCTCCTGCAACTCCTCCTTCAGTGCCCTAGAGAGAATACAAATGAGGTTGAAGTAAGCAGGGTTTACCACAAAGCATGCTAAGTGAGCTAAACAGCATGAGCTTTAGGAGCTGAGTAGCACTACATGTCATTTGAAGCAACTTTAAAAATTCATAAAAAATCCTAATTTAATTGGAATCAGTTCAAACTTTCTATGCAACTTAAGAACATGTATATGTATCAGGAAAGTTATAAAAATGGAGAATTCTCTCCTAGTCATTTTTGGCAAAATTTAGCTCGAGACCATGTACTATAGTACAGGGACTTTGGCCCGATTTTTGAGTAACTTTAAAAATTTGTAAAAAATCCAATTTTGATCAGAATCAGCTCAAACTTTCTATGCAACTTAAGAACATGTATATGTATCAGGAAAAGTTATAAAAATAGAAAATTCTCTCCTAGTCAATTTTGACGAAATTTGGCTCAAGTCCCTGTACTATAGTACAGGGACTTTGGCCTGATTTTTGAGCAACTTTAAAAATTCATAAAAAATTGAAAATTGATCGGAATCAGTTCAAACTTAATATGCAGCATAAAAACATGTGTATGTATCAGGAAAAATTATAAAAATGGAGAATTCTCTCCTTGTAATTTTTTGCCAAAATTCCCTGTACAGGGTTCTTGGCCGCAAATTAACAATCCACTGACAAAAGCTGCATGAGCACTAAACTCTGGAAGTAAGCACATTACTTACAAGGAGCTGAAAGCCTTTCTTGAATACAGGCCTCATCGGTGTCACTGTAGAATTGATTTGATGAGATCCTACAGCCTTTGGAAAGGGAGAGATAAGAAATAATACTTAGTAACACAACTCATAATGGATTCGTTACTTTAGGAAGCTTAGGAGTAGCTTTATTCTCCTATTAAGAAATAACAAATACATTAACTTCAGTATAGCATAGCTGGGTTGATCCTATACCTTTGTCTTTTTTGATTTTACGTAAGGCGGAGGAGTGCCTGCCATCTTTGAACCAGTCTCAAACTAATTGTCATTATTATCATAATGTAGCCCATTTCTTGCTATTTGCATCAATTTACACACTCACCTTTTTGAGGAACATTTGCTTCTGAGGGCCATCAGGCATCTTTTTCACATACTCATAGAGAGAAGCAAGCTCAGCTACAGCATTATCTCTTCCTTGTTCGTGAAACTCACTCGTACTGCAGGTCTTCTTACATGCACTAGAATATATGTCCACTGGTATTGCTGATGTATCCTATTGAGTAAATGTACAATAATAATAATTACTTATGAGATATTGATGAATGAAAAATAAGCAAAAATCATGGATTAAGCACATTTTATGTGCTCTAATCTAGTGCATTTAAGGTATATTAGCTAATGTTAGATTGGTCTTATAGCTGAGTCTGTAAACTGTATAGTGTATCAATGACTAACTTACTTCACTGATCTCTCTTCTTTTCATGTACTTCTCAGCAACCAGTCTAACCTCAACTGGTATCTATGTGTACAATTAACATATTAGAATCTATTTATTTGTAAATGATATGGCTTATACTTCAAAAATCTCAACATTGTGGATTATCATGTACTCAAGAAGTGACGTGACTTTAGGTAAGACTTCCCCCATTACATCATCCTGAGAGAATAGAGAAATCAAGAGGGGATAAAGTTCAGTAAATATAAAAAAATAAATAGAGACATAACATATATGACATACCAGTGTCTTATGTAGAAAGAGAGTAGGCCCAAAAACAACAGCCAGATTATGAGGTGTCATAAGACTGGTCTCAGAATGTGACACAATAGAGAGCAAGTGCAACAAATGGGTCAATACAATGTGATGTGTGGGTGGTAATAGGAGCATCAACAACTGAAGACAAAGCATCCTTTTCTCATCATCCATATCTACATAACAAACACAGTATGTAGACAGATGAATATGGTAACAGACAGTCATAAGGATAATAATATATACTGACTAAAAAACAATAGTTATATGTAATTTTTCTTAGATACCTGATGCTTGGCGATATGCTTCCAAGTGTTTTCTTAAAAGAAGAGGCTCTGGTAGCTCTTTAAAATAATGTTTAAGAACCGAAGAGAAATCAGGCAGAGAATATGAAGGGTTTGATGCTACGGACTCAAACGGGAGAGATCCCAAATCAGCGATCATCTGCTCAATTCTTGAGTGACTCCCAGACTTACGAAAGATTCCTTCTTCGTTGCAGAACATCTCAATGTGAGCCATTAGCTTCACCAGTACATCTTGGCCAGGCACATCAATAGAAGTGCCAAACTGTAGTGTTGGGAAAGAAGATGCACCTACACATGATAATAATCCAGTTAAATAACGAAATATGATATACATTACGATACTTCACGATATCATATCTTATATATATTAATAGTATCAACCCTTTATTCTATTAATAGTATTTCATTATCAAAGCTACAACCCTTTGTTTTTATATTACAAATTAGAACTACAATAAACTAAATGAGCATTATGCCACACCTGTTGTTTCCATGGCATTTTTGCTGCTGCTGCTGTGGTGATCATCGAAGCGTAGCCTGTGAGAGAGTGCCTTCAACTTGTGGGCAATATTTCTAAATAATAAACAAATAAATGAAATGAAACAGAATGTGAAATACTGTAGTTATTAATGATTATTATAAAAATTTAAAATTATTAAGCACAGCTTTTTGAAGAGAATTTTTTGTAAATATATAAATTAATACACAAAAATGCTCCTTTTCCCTTTCCTCACTTGGCAACATTGTTCGTGGCACTGTTTCCATGTTCACCATCATCCTCGTCTTCCTCCCCCAATAGTATCTCTAACTTGTTGTCTGGGAGATCTAATATCCTTGATAGGCTACTGCAGCATATTTCTCTGAGTGCCTCCCGCCCCAAATCACTTTCCAATTCTCCTCCAGAGGAGCTAGCCACGCTATTGTAAGAACAAAAACTGACATCTACTTCCATCATTTTGAATCACCGCCTGTAATTTTAAGGTAATCCGTGTATTACCGAACTCTTCCGTAAAACTAAAAGTTAACATTAAAATCTCCGTGTATTCATCCGAATTCCTAATTACATTGTAATGTTTTTGATCATGCACATTATTAAAGTGATATTCTGCATTGTTTATGGGTTCATTTCAGCAATGAAAGTGATATTTGGTAAACCGTAGACTACTCCATTGAAAGAGTTGTATCCTGTACTATCCATTGTGGCTCCTAGCTCTTCTGTGCCAGCAGACTCTGCCATATTCTCATTGGAAAGAGCATTACAATGCAAATGTATCTGTCCAGTCATAATGGGCTTTGATAAAACATCTATAAAAATGCATAAAATGTAGCATTATTACACTCTTCACCTTTTAATAATGTTTTAAATCTATCAATCCCTTTCTGAGCCCCTTCCTTCCACTGGTGACAATATATGCAGTTGCTTCCAGCAATTGATAATAATTTAACTAAAACATCCGGCTCTTCCAACTCTTTTACACTAGAACTGCAAAAAATGAAATAAAAGTAGTAGTTTTCAGCATGCAATGGTAAGTACTAATCAACTAATGGCAGTAGGCAACATCAGTAGATGATTTATTGCCACAACATGGCAATATTTATTTCAAGTTGTGTACCTTTTTTCTGAGTCAAGTTTTGATTGTATTTGAAAGCTAGCAGTTGAGCTTAACTGATCAACAATAGCAACAAATCCAATACCTATACATTATTGTATTCATTATTGTATATATAAAGGAGAGTTAGTGATGATTGCAAGAGGAATTTAACATAATTATGTACCAGTAAGATTAAGAGGTGAGAGTAATGAAGGTGGATAATGATTGAGGATCTTTTCAGAGGAAAGGAGAAGAAGTCCACTTGCATTAAGAAAAACAGGAGACCATTCTCCATGACTATAAACAAAGGAGACACTAAGATCTTTTAGTAAGCTATGTTTTGATACCTTAATGCATGATCCATTCCATAGACTCCGGTCCATTTCCCGGTCAGTTTTACATACTCACTGATTATCGATTTCACATTTTGAGCTGTTTCTCCAGACTGATCCAAATCATTTCGCGGATCAATGATATCTAGAGTGATAAATCACAAAATATGCTCACGCATTCATTAAAATATCACTTACATCTAAAGTTAGCAATGTTTCCCATGTAAGACAATGGCTGGAGCTGATATTTCTCTACATTTGGCTTCTTTTTGTCGTCTTCAGGGGCTACAGGAAAAATTTGTAAAATTTGCTCCCAACTACTTGATGTCGGCCTGTTGGTCTAGTGGTATGATTCTCGCTTCGGGTGCGAGAGGTCCCGGGTTCGACTCCCGGACAGGCCCAATTACTTATCATCTTTTTTCTTTTTTTTTTTACCTTGTTTTTTTTCTATTTCTGGCTTTTTTTACTAACCTTCTTGCTCGGCTACAATTCCTTTTAGCCTGTTATGGAGCATTTGCAACGAGAAATCTCTTGAGAGAGCTTTGATATTCATTTTATTAAAAAAACTGAGTGCCTCGATCGGAAAATGAGCCAAATGAGAGTCAACCAACAAAACTAAAGTCAATTCCTTGCTATTATCTTTCCTATAAAACACAAATTATAAACAATACAACATCTTATCACAAATTACTCTATAGCTGGCATAAGGTGAGCTACACTTTGACTAATGTAAGCTTCCAAGGCAGCCATTATTCCTTCAAACTGCATCTGAAGTGATTCTTCAAGCTACATTTAAAAATAAAAAAAACAGCAAAGCTCCCTCTCCTTTCTTGTCTTCCTCTTACATTAATATTACAGCGACGTGAGCGAGCAACATCAGTCTTGTACTCTTTGAGTAACTGTTTCAAGGAGGAGAGGTCGTTAGATGAAACAGTAGAGCGACCAATTGCAGAAATCAAAGGTTCTTTAAGCGAAGAATTTTTAAATTAAAAAAATAGCAGCTGTACTCGTACCATATTCAACTGGTGCTTGTCCTCTTTTAGGAGCTGGTGGAGGCGGCTGTGGTGGAATCATGTATGAAGAATATAAGTATTTACTAAGAAAGAGAGAGACAGAGAAATACAATTGCAATAAGATAAACTGCATGACATTGCTTTTAACTGACCAGTCTGGTGAGTGGTGCAATATGATGAATCTTGTGTCACAATGAAATGATTTGAGCAGCTCCAGATGAGTCTCACTAACTGCCAGTCTCCTCCAAGACTGCAAAATTAAAAATTTACTTATACATGTATAAGTTACATGTACCTCATAATTTTGTTGCAGTGTTTTCAAAGTGACAGAGTATGAGGGAAGGTGCTTGGGAAGGACGTGAAGCTGGCGTAGGAGTGTGCTCAGTTGGCATTGCTCAGGATATGGGAGACATTTCTCAAGAAGATGTGACAAAGAAAGAGAAACTGAACAACTCTAGAGAGAAAGAGAAAATAGAGAGATAAAAAGAGAAAAGACACAGTAATGCATTGTACATAAAACCATATACACAATAAAAATACACTAGAATTTGCACATGGACAGTCTTGTACTTGGTATAGTGCCAGATAAGCTGATGCCAGCCCCGGATCAAAGAGACCATACAACTCAACCAACTTAAGAGCAGAGTGCTGAACAATGTCCTATGAAAAATAATAAAAGAACAGCAAGGAAATGCAATGCATAAATTAACTAAAAATTATCAAAGCAAGATTTGACCTTCAGGACTACATGACATACAATGTACATGTATACCCAATGAGCATGTAACTGCCATTATACTGACTAACCAGTTTCTGTGTCTTGAGTCCTTTAATGATTGTAGATATAAGACACTCACCAGCCCAAGAGAGTCTGATCAATGATACACTTTCTTTCTTCTGCATAAAATTAGTAACACAAGGATTTAAAGACAACAAATTAGTGCATAAATCTATAGCAATATTCTGAAGACATAGAATACATTTCATTGCTAATGATTACATTAGCATCAGTAGCTTCTTCTTGTCTCATGACTAGTGACAATGAACTCATGAGGTTTGACTTCTCCTTTCCCAGTGCATTAGGAGGTAGTGAGGTCAGCCATGACTCCAGTACATCAGGACAGACTTCATTTGACACTTCAGCCAAAAATAATCCAACAAGACTCAAACACTATTAGCAGATACATGTACACGTATAGGTTTTTGCCATACTATTCTACCTTCACTTGATAATATTGATCACATTGAGTGTATGTATCTATTAACAGTGATAATCCTTCACTTGTTGCTAACCTAATCATGCAGTGTATAGAAATAAAATGATTAAAGAATCAATTATAGCAAATGTATTACCTAATAGTCTCCTCCCATAACTCCTCCTCCTCACTCAATGGTGATGGAACGTGTACAAAATTATCAATCAACTATGATATAGAATTAAAACAATATTGATACTTGTTAAAAGGTAAAAGCAACCATTCCCCTACTGTACCTTCTCTATGCTGCTCTTTTGCAACGTTGATACCTTATACTTGTTCTTCCTTTCTGCTGTCTCCATGACAACCGAGAGTAACAGTTCGGCCAAAATAATCTGAGCTTCAATCATTTTCTGCTGAGTTGGTAAAATAACGCCCTGTGACGTCAAATGACATCAAACGACATCATAGCATACAAGGAAGGAACTCACAGTGTTAGGACTAGTGAGTGAGACTACTTCTTTATGCCAATCCTGAAGTATCTGTACCGTCTGTCTTGCTAATGATAATGACTCCATTACATTATCACCTCTTTCCTTTTTCCCTCTTCTTCTAAATCTTCTTCTACTCAGTAACAATAAACATTCAATGGCAGTACCCACACAGCCACACTCTATCAGTGTGTTAACATTTGACTGGATATTGTCCTATAAAATGTACATGTACATGCAGTATAAAACATATAAACTTCACTGTAAAATTAGCATTAAAATACATATGGCATAATTAGGATTTAATTCAGTTGCTTCTCTATACATTAAACACTTACCATGTTCCTTTTTTCTTTCAATGCCTCAAGCCTACAATAATGAATACCCACTCAATCCAGTATATGTACCATACTGTACCTCATTTGTAGTAGAGAAGTGATTATTTTCAATGGCTCTTCTCTCAGTACACTCTCAGCTACAGACATTGCTTTGTTGAGTATTAATCTTAAACTATCTTCATCTTCTTCTCCTTCTCTCAACAATATCTCCCAAAAGGAGTCTATCAGTTCCAACCACACACTGTAAATGGATGACAATGCCTGCATTTGTGAATGTGTGTGTGTATTTATAATGAATGATACACTATGAGGTATCAATCACTTGTCCTTCCATTAGTTTCTCAATGGCTCCATCATAGTTCCTCTCAAATACAAGTAGCTTAGCTTCTCCTAGCAACACTTGAGCTAGTGTTGAAGAATCACCAGTTAACTATTAATTAATGAAAATTGGAGAGAGAGAGAGAGAGAGAGAGAGAGAGAGAGAGAGAGAGAGAGAGAGAGAGAGAGAGAGAGAGAGGAGGTAGAAAAGTGTTCCTGTCTTCTTTTCCTTACTTCACAGGCAGCCTTAGCTTCACTTAAAAGCTCTCTAGCATTTTGATACAAACCCTATACAGCAATCAATGTACACGTTACATATAATTGATGTGAATCAGCAGGTTTTTGCTAACTTGTTCTAGCATGATAAACGCCATCTTTGTTAGTACCTCCCACACACAAACCCTATCACTAATGCAGTCACTAACAAACTTCTCAACACTCAATGAGTCACATCTACACCTAATGAGAGACAGAGAGAAACTAAATCCTTATTTTCTTATATGTTCTTTGGCCAAATTTGTCAAAAATGAAAAGGAAAGTATATGCTTACTCTACAATGTCATTAGAGTTAAGAGAAAAATCAATCGAAGGAGAAGGAGTCATTCTTAAGTCTTGACATATTGTATTCATCCTAAAAGAATAACAAAAATAAATATCACCAAATTAAACTGCATATTTTCCCTTTAAAATTAAACTCCTCTGTATCTTTTTCCCACTCTCTCCTTCTCCTCCTCTCCTTCATGTAAATTTACTTCAATGAATACAACTGGTGGAGTGTTTGACTGCCGATGATGTGTCTTGATATTAGGATGAGAAGTTGAAGTACTGGAAACGTTAGGAGATGAAGCGAATGAAATAGCAATGTCTCCAGCAACACATTCAAGTAATGGACAGTCAGCAACTAACAGGAAAAATATCATGTATAAAAAGTATCATCATTATAATTACTGGTCTAAGGATGGTATTGATGGATGGTATGTCATCTTTGGTTCCTTTACTGATGTGAGATATCATCTATAAGGAGGAAGAGGGTACAAAATAGAAAGAGTAAATATTGTACAAATAAAATGGCAGGGAATTAAGAAAGTGCATTAAGTCCACAGACATTACATACATCATCGGATAAGTTTATGTTGCTCCATTCCTCCATCTTCTGATAGCTTGCTATCTCCTACAGAAAAGAACAAAAAATAAAACACACAATCATTAAAACTATTACATACATGTATTGTGTATAAATGTAACTAGTATACTGTACAATTGTATATTTATGACCACATTATATAAGTACAAGTTATTAAACCACAAAATTTTTATAAGTACATGATCCACATCCTGGAGCAGACAACCCACGATGATATGAACCAGTAATGTGCACATAAAGACAGCAGTCATCAATCAATGCATTGTAAATTAAAATTATATTATATAAAATTTTTGGAAGGACAGAAATGTCCTGATTAGTACAAATATAATACACATACACTGTACATTAATACAAATACATGTACACAGTACCTTCATTATCTTCAATACACAGGCAGTAGCCTTAAGACAATACCAGTAATGTGTATATAAAAACAGCAGTCATCAATCAATGCATTGTAAATTAAAATTATATTATACATCTTAATAAAATTTTTGGAAGGACAGAAATGTCCTGCATTAGTACAATTATAATACACATGAAATGTGTATATAAAAACAGCAGTCATCAATCAGTGGATTGTAAATTACTTTCTTATATTTCTATATCAAAAATTTTTGGAAGGACAGAAATGTCCTGCATTAGTACAATTATAATACACATACACTGTACATTAATACAAGTACATGTTACACAGTACCTTCATCATCTTCAATACACAGGCAGTAGCCTTAAGACAATACCCCAACTGATCTCCAGACCCGCATTGACTGGACATTACATACAACTGAAGCAATGTATCAAGTCCTTGAATGCTATTAGTAGGACATAGCTCAATCCCTATTGATAATTGAGACAATATATCTTTGTATTGGTAGCCATTGTGATAGAGCCAGCGGGAGAGCTCCATTATGTACTGTAGCTTTAGCATCATATCTCCATCTTCTTTGAACTACATGAATAAAAAAATTTAAATATACTGTAGATGTATACATGTAAGTTAGCTGATTGTTTAAAGATTTGAAGGTTAATTTTTGAAATTTAAATTTAAAAATTATCCACTCTTGCTTGTATGCCTATACCCACAAGTTCAATTGCTTTCTCGTAACATTCTTTCTGTTTCTCTCCTTTAGAGTTGAGTCCAATCTCAAACCATAGTCCCGAGAGGTCTTCTTCTGACTCCGCCCCCAACTCCTCTTGGTATCGGAGCATCTCACCATCAACAGCTCCACCCAATCGACTCTTAAATAATATCTTAAATTTCATTAGAATCCTTATAATTAGAAATTAGAGTGACCACACCCACTTTAACCCAAACCACCACTCACTGATGAAAAGACTTGGGGCTGACCCGAAGAGCTGATTCTAGCGTTTCAAGTCCTTCCGCCCACGCATTCTATAAATAAAAAAGCATGATTACACCATCAAAAAAAAGCTAAAAATAGCACAGTGGTATACTGTAGCTACTATAATGTACCCTGTCAGTATATACTTGGAATATTACCAGGTACACATCAGACACCAGTTTAATATCTGATTCACTCATTGGGACTGCAGTCTAAAGAGAGAAAGAGAGAGAGGGAGGATAATTAATGTACTGTACATAATATTAACTACTGTATGTTACCTCCACCCTCCTTCCTGCTAGTTTCATCACATCAGCGAGCATGTCCTTATAAGGCTCCATTAGTGGTCCCCTCGTCTTCTCTTGAAGGATAAGGGAGAGACAGGTGTTCCACGAGGAGCGAATGGCGTGAATGACCTTTTCATAGCTACTGACCTCAGCGGCAAACCTGGAGTGACCATACAAGTATTGAGAGCCTTTCTTTATTAAAGGACCTCATTTTAATACCTTGAGCTCTTCCTGTAGTATTCAAGTGCAGCTAGTGGATCATTGTTAGTAAACTGGCCCAACAGACAACTAGCAGTCGATAGTAATAATCTAAACAATAAAGAGAGAGAGAGAGAGAAAATAAGAAGAGTTTGTATGATGTTGTGTGTGTTAGTTTAATTACTTGTTGCCATCCAACTGTAGAGCTTTTTGACAGCAACTCCTCACCTACAGTACCGAATAGACCAAAATTATGTAAATACAGCAAAAATTTTTTTTAAAAGATACATATACATTGTACATGTTCTTATGCTGTATATCAAGTTTCAGCTAATTCTGATCAAATTTAGATTTTTTATGAATTTTTTTAAGTTGCTCAAAAATCAGGCCAATGGCCAAAGGCTATAGCCTTTGGTCACTGGGCAAATTTTGTCAAAAATGGCTACGAGAGAATTCTCAATTTTAATAATCTTTTCTGATGCATATACATGTTCTTATGCTGTGTATCAAGTTTTAGCTGATTCCGATCAAGATTGGATTTTTAATGAATTTTTTAAAGTTGCTCAAAAATCAGGCCAATGACCAAAGGCTATGCCAATGACCAAAGGCTATAGCCTTTGGTCATTGGGCAAATTTCGTCAAAAATGACTAGGAGAGAATTCTCAATTTTTATAATATTTTCTGATACATATACATGTTCTTATGCTATATATCAAGTTTCAACTGATTTCAATCAAATTTGGATTTTTAATGAATTTTTAAAGTTGCTCCGAATTCCATGTACTGTATTGTAGTGCTTGTCAGCTCATGAAGCTCATGCTGTTTAGCTCACTTAGCATGCTTTGTGAGAAACCCTGCTTAACATGCATATAACATGACAGAATTACTCTATTTTAAAATATAAAAAAGAGCTCACTACATCAGGATACTGATAGACTGATGCTGATAATGACAGCTCAGTGAAGAGTTCAGTAGGAAGAGAAGGATCGCTCCACGCTGACTGTGTAATGTACTTCTCCACATCATCAAATGAAGGAGGATTGGGAAACTCATAGAATGAATACTGTGACATCAAACGGTACATCTCTACACCCACAATAGCCTGACAGTTTGATTTAGTACTCTGTACAATACATACATAAAAATTAATAGAAACTAATATCAGTAATGTCATACCAGTAATCTTACATACAATGTGCTGTATAGTGTATATAAATGCAAAATGAAAACTAAAAAGCATGGACTATTATAACCAGTGGTTTATGGCAAAATAAGATTTCAAAATGCATGATCATAGCACATACAGTACTGCATGTCCATTACCTCAATGTCAAAGGGAACTAGGGCAGTTGCTGGTATCACTGACTGATACATGAACTTGGCCTGTACCCAGGCCTTTAGAAGAGGACAATAGACAGAGATATGTACATCTTTATTGATCAGTGGGAATAAAGAATCACAGACCTGTGTACATTAGAAGTAAAGGAGGAGAGAAAGTAACTCCATTAGAAGTAAATGTTAAGGAGCTAGGGAACTTACAGCAATTGCTTCTTTGAGGTCATTACTGGCATCAGCATCAACAGAACCGACCACGTCTTTCTTCTTACCTCTTGAACTACCTCTACCACCACCACCTGAAAAGAAAAAGAGAAAAGGGAAAGAAGAGATAAAATTGGAAGAAAAGACAGAAAGGGAAGACAGGAAGGTAGAGTGAGTGGTCAATTATCATTATGTACAACACAATCACCTCTCTTCGACATACTACTGCCTGTCCTTCCTGTTCTTGGAGTTGGTTGTGGCAGCCATTTTGCAACCAACCCATTGACTAGGACGGTACCAATGTGACAGGCTAGGGTAACAGCATCCCTGGAAATATAGAGAGAATAAAAACACAGCAAATATACAAATAAACACTTATAATAATCTGATGTGTCATAAGTACATATACATTAATTGCAAGACATTCAATAGTGCAAAAACTGACTTACTGGTTCCCCTCCAATAACTGAAAGAGTTTCTTAAACACATTCACAAGATCAATGGCTGCAGATTTAGTTCCTTTACTAAGGTGATTCTTATGATAGTTCCAGAGGTAGACTCCACTGTTATAAGTCAACCAATTCTCTTGGACAATGCTCCCTATTTCAGCTCCTCTTAAGAAACTATTGTGAGCATCATTCTTCAATGAACTGATCCAATTACTGCAGAGAAATAAAAATAAAGAGTATTGCAATTTCATCATACATGTATGCCTCCCATTCATCTGTTGTCTCTGGCTCTGCATTAGTTGGTGTTTCACCTAATCCCAGTCCTTCATTCTGCAGAGTATTTACTAACACCTGCATAGTAATGTACATGCAATAGGAAAAATCACATTATCAATCTAAGGTTCTACAACAATGTAATCCCTCCTTCTCCCCTCCTCTCCCTCCCCCACCTCTCCATGTATGCAGTATATCTGTCCTATCATTAGTAGGAGTTCCTTTTGCTTTGACACAGGAGATGGTGTAGAGTATGGCAGTGACAATAGGCTATCACTGGAGGGTACAACATGCTCAGGAGTGCTGCTTGATATCGAGGAGCTTATGGTTAGCTTCTTACGGGATTCCTTACTCTTCTTTACTGGAACTGCAACAAAATGATGATAATAATAAATTATCAATCTCTTTAATTTTTGTACCCTGATGTGTTGGAGTGTACTTCCATCTTTGGTCATCATATTTGAGACAGTAAAGTGAAGAGAAATGGCAGATATCCCAGAGGCCTATCTTTCTTGAGAGAGTAGCCAATTCAGACCAGAGCCAACACCTTAGAATTAAGAATAAAAAGAAAATAAAAGAGAAACAAAAGTACATATTGGTTTATATGTGTCAGTAATCACCTTGTTTTATCAGTTTCATGGTCTTCAGTATCAATACTGACATTGTCCTTAAAAAACTTGGCCTTTTCATACTCTACAATTATAAACAAACACACACACACACACAGTATAATAGCAGTAACATGTATATTCTTACTGTCAGTGGTAAGTGCAGTGTTTAACAGTGTTGAGAATGAGCCACCAGTCAATAGATCACCAATACTCACTAGTATAGGCTCGCATGATGAATAACCAACCAAATCACAAGATTTTAGCTAAAAAATACACATAATACTTCACATATACCCATTTGATAGATCAGTGATGCATGTACATGTACATTGCATAGTCTCACTCACTTGCTCTAGTTTCTGTATAGCTTGGTCCAATGGGTCACTAGGTACACTGTGAATGTCTGATCTTAGCTTTAGTCTATGCTGGAGCCATTGCAAATGTTCAGTATAGTATCCTTCAATATCAAGGAGTTTAGCCTATGGAGTGAACACATGTATACTTGTAAATAATGGCCTCATTAGATCTGTATAATAAAGCCTAAGGTAGTATTTGATGCTTACTGAGTCAATGTGTTTCATTGATGTCTTGATGTCATCAGAGTCAGTATTGATCTTTATCAATTCAACGTGAACCATCACTCTTAGGCCCCTCAATAAACTACACAAAAATAATAAATAAACAAATAAATAATTGTAGTGAGAGTACCTTTCAATCTTTTCTAAGGCAGTGCTGAGCATGGTGAGTGGTTTGAGGAGAGATGAGCGGAGTGAGGGTTGAAGTAACGGAAGACAAAAGTTCCACAACTGAACACAAGTTTCCTATAAAAACAAAGCAATTAATACTTGTATTCAGTGATTTCCCCCCTCTCTCTCTCTTCCCTTTCTCTCAGGATGTACTTCAATCAGTGATCCATTAACAGGCTCAATGCTAATCAGTTCATTCAATACCAGCTCATATGCTTTAATGGCCTCACTTCTTGTCTGGAGATTACAAGTAGCAACATTATAGATCACTCATTCATTGTTAGGTTGTTGATATTACCTGCACATTTGAGGGACAGTAGAGATCAGAACTAGTCGAACTAAGTGACAACTGAGCTTCTAATAACTTCTTCCTAAGACAGAGGTCCTATGCATGAGAATAAAGTATATCATTAGTTATACTCTACTTTCTGGTTTGTATGATAATAATGTTACACATGTACCTTGTTCTTAGTTGTGACATGTATCATTTTAAGACACTGCTCAGCGACTGAGAGACAGTTATACTGAAGACAGGTCTCTCCCAGCTCAAGCAGTACTGGATCCAGAGCCTCACGTGATACTGGAGGAGAGGGTTTCTTACCTGGGCTGTCCCCCTTGGTGATGGTCAGTAATAGTTTGCTAAGTCGAGACTCATAATCAGGTACAGTTGACTGAGCTGAGCTGTGAGAGGACCAATGTACTGATGGGCATTTTAATGATATTTTTCTACCTTTTTATCTTCCATATTCTAACAAGGACCGATAGTTCTGGGTAAGCCTTGATGTCTTTGTCCTTACCTTCAGAGATCAAGCCCCATGTTACCTAACAGTAATATGAATTAATTGCACTAAAATCAAATACAAATTATCATTTATTTATTGCATGAGCTAAAAATTACAAGATATTGTAGGGCACAAAGCAGTAGTTTTCTTTATAAAATATGAGGTACATGTACTCCTAATACTAACGAGTTGCTTGTATGTTTGGAATAAAAGTGAAGGAAGATGAACACGAACAAGTTTGAGTATAGTCAGACTTGTCTTCCCTGCTTCCTCTAACTGATGAGGTAACTGGGAATGAGCCAAACAACTGCAAAAGAAAGTGAAGAGAGAGAAAGATGATGATGAACATAGAGATTCTTACAGCAAAAGGGTGAGTCTCCATTTATAATCATCATTATTGCACTCATCTAGTGCCTTCACTACAGTCTGTAGTGTTGCTGTGTAGACCTGAGGTGATGATATACCCATTGCTCCTCCTCCTCTTATAACCTTCCACAGACACACTGATATATTGTATACCATGAAATGATAACTGAGGAAGAAATAGAGAGAGAGAGGGGGAGGGGGAGAGATAAGATTATAAATACATGTACATGTATATACCATGGCGACTTCTTTGCTAAACCAACTGCTTTGCTAAAGCAGCGAAGACTTTCTTGCTCCCTTCCCTATCGATATAAAGAAATGGGAATAATCACATGTATCTTGAAAAAATTGAACCATTATTATAATAATTATGCAAAAATTTGCAATTCAATACATACTGAACTGTTAACATAATGCCTACTCTCAAACTGTACCTCTCTCCTGGAGAGACACATTCCACGACAGACGTGAGCTCTTATGAGGAACTGGTTCGCTGGAGGATTGAGAGAGAAATAGAAATCAATACACTCCATGGCCAGATCAACATTATCATCCTAGGAGAAGCAAAAGTGAAGAGTTCTTTCCTCCAGTCTCTTACCTTTAATATGTGCTCAGCAAATAGTACTAGCTGAGGAACATTAGTCTCGACCATTGGCTTCCTGTTCTCTGGAGAGAAAGTCTCTCTGAGATAAGAGAACATTTCTTCATAGGACTGAGCAGCCATTTTGTGCTCGTTACCATAGTAACAAAGTGCTAAGTGGGCAGTGCCCTTCTTTTTCGCGCAATTTCGCGGTTAAAAATTTTTTTCTAGTTATAAAATTTTTTATCTTTTTGGTGTTAAAACTGCAGCAAATAGACCTAAGAGGAGGAGAATTCCAACATGATTGTTGCTTTTAAATGTCTTCAGACACTGAACAGGGTCGAGGAGATTCACTGACCATATCTTTTATAAAAATTAGAAAAAAATTATTGCAAAGAAACAGGAAAACTTTTCCTTACCTGCCAAGCAAGATGACAGGAGGCTGCTCCAACCCCGAGATAATATGGCCAGGAAAGAGATGCCTGGTAGCCGGACAGGAGCAGCAATGAACTGGTACTAGCTGCAAACAAACTCAGCCAATATTTTCCATTATCACCAAACTTGATAGCAGTCGACTTTAAACCTAATTTAACGTCATCTTTTGTGTCCTGAAGAGGAAAAGAAACATAAAAACTATTCTGGATTGAACTTTAAATGCATTTTATGATTAAATAATGTTCCAATTATTAATTACTTGATAAGCGTATATGGTATCGTAAAATAGCGTCCAAGAGATACAAGCGAGATACAATGGAGCACAAATGGACCAATCACAGTACCCACGGACAGCAGAGTATCCCAATAGTGCACCCCAATTGAATGTAAGACCTGTTATTATTATAAATAATATTATTGTTATTATTATTATTCTCAAAATATTTTTTACCTAATACAACTTGTGGCCAAAATGTGTACCTTTTCATAAGAGGATAAATTGCAACCAGAGGAAGAGAAGCTGCTCCTAGCAAGATGCTTTAAGAAGACAAAGAATGAACACAATATACCCCATACTTATTACTCCTAACTATTGCTGTACTAGCTAACCTGTATTGATTTAAACTGAGGAGTATGCATAGTCCAGCACTTAAGTTGGCACCTAAAAATACCAAACCTTTGAATGGTGATACCTGACCTGAAGCAATAGGTCTACTGGAAGTACGAAATACCTAAAAACACCTCATTAAAACTGATAGAGTACCCAATCAAGACATACCCATGTACATTATATACCATACATAATATCAAATACCATGTGATTGTACACATTAATGATTAAATGTATTAATGTGTATTATATTATATGTATATTATTAGTGTATTTACCTAATTCTATTATATACAATGTACATATGAATGATTACATTTTAATAAATTCATCCTCCTCCCCCTTACCTTTGAGTCATAATTCCTATCCCATAAGTCGTTAATGATACAGCCTGCCCCTCTCATTACAAAACTCCCGGCACCAAATGTCGCCAAGAGCGACCAATGAGGCAACAGCCCTGGTTCCGTTGCCATGACGATGCTCCATGCACACGGCCAGTAGAGTAGAGTCGTTCCGATTGGTCTGTCCAATCGGATTAGCCGTAGATAAGGTTGCCATGACGGCGGAAAAGAATTGACTATCGTTTGTTTGGGTGCTTCATAACCAACTGGAGGTAGTGCTGAGAGAAACCTCTTCTTAAAACCATCACTGAGAAACCTCCTATAAATAATACCAACAAACATAATAAAAATAAAATAATAATGAAACCAATAAAGTTATAAATCAATTAATATAACTAGTAACGGGCACGTCCGTATACTAAAATTTGCAAAAGAGGTGTGGTTGGGGCGTGGTCAATCTGCACACCTTCCTCATGGCGGCCCGAGCCTTTCTTGAACAATATATGGAGTGTAAGTTGGAGAGAGGGGGAAGGAGGAGGGGAGAGAGAAAGAGAGGGGACAGTAGAGGAGGCAGGCTTGCTTTACACCTCTTTTATTAATTTATTTATTTAGGCACTGACTCGCTTCCTCTAGATGTACAGAGACTCGTGTCGCAATACAAGGAGCTGGATTATAAAGCTACTGGTTAGGATGAAATACAAAATCTACTCTGACCTTTATATTAACATTTCCTTACCAGATCTTTTAGATGAAGCACGCCAGTTGAAGAATGAACACTCGACTGTTCTGAAATCAGTGGGTGTGGCTGATCGTATCCATTGGTTACTGAAGCTACAGAAAGCAATGGTTTCGCTCACTGAAGTTGGAGACCAAAAACTTGAAGTGACCAGCGAAATGCTTGATACTGTAAGAAACAATTGCAGCGTTACATTTTAGTCCTTTCAAATTAAATTCATATTCTATTGATAATGAATCTAATTATAATGACCCTTAACATTTATTAATGGAACGTTGTATCATGCTAATTAATTTTCAATAATAGTAATTAATTAATAAGTTTTAGCAAAAATACACTTAATAACGAAGGAAAGAGGACCTTGACTAAATAAAATAATTATTATAATAAGAAGTACATGTATATGTGAAAAACTGAACTCTAAACAGGAATCCTTTTATTAGATCCAATTGTATTGTACCATATCTCCTACTTAGGCTGAAGAGTACACTCAGCAGTTAGAGTTAGCATCAAAGGAGGTTGACAATTGTCGTACAAGAGACGATCTCAGCGGAGGCTCGAGAAACTCGTTTGTCTACAAGAACTCGTCGCTCACCAGTGAGTGACATCACACTGTGTCATGTGACATATTAATAACCTTTTTTTAAATTGTAGATATTCATCATGATTATAATGAAAGAAAGCGAAATGAAAGTAAAACTTACTTATTCTTGAGTAGTGAGTATTATTGGTATTCTTTGTTTGTTTAAGGACACCACAAGCGTTCAAGAGTGACCGTAGTACAAGATCATATAGAAGAGGACTCACCTCCTCTTCCTCCTATTGCAGAAAACCCCATCAAAGAGGCACCAGTTCCCATGACTACCTCCTCCTCTTCTTCGTCCACGGCTGCCTCCAAGCCAACAAAGAAAAAAGTCAAAATCAAGAAAAGGTTTGTAATGATATTCACGATTATTAGTGACCACTCCCACAAAACAGGTCCTCTAATGTCTCTAATGCTAGCTCAAGTACTGGTAACAGTGGGAAGGACAGTGGGGTCCTCCTACCGGTGGGCGGGGCTATACCTCAGCCGGACTTTAACTCGGAGCCGATAGACCCAGACGAGCCAACATACTGCTTATGTAATCAAGTCTCTTTTGGTGAAATGATAGGTTGTGACAATGAGGAGGTGTGTTCAATTATCATGTACACGTAAACCTCTTTTAATATAATGACACAAGACTAGGAATTCAGAAAAAAAATTTTTGTCACTAAAATATTTGCAAAACCTTCATTTAGAAGATTTCACAAAATAAAATTTTCATGAATAGCCTGTAAACTTGACTGTGGCATATGAAATTGCAAAAAAATGTGAAATCTGTGAGCTTTTTGCTATGCCTGCCTGGTGATAGTCTAACTATATAATAAATTGTCCTACATTTATGTTCTCTTCTACCTTTCCCAGTGTTCCATCGAGTGGTTTCATTTTGTGTGTGTTGGATTAACCAGCAAACCAAAAGGAAAGTGGTACTGCCCCCAGTGCTCAAAGGAGAGATCAAAACACAGATCAAACAAATCATGAGATGGAACCTAACACACACCTCCCTCCTCCTCCCTCCCTCTCTCTTTATCACATCACACATGCACACAATGTTGTAGACATGATTACAAAAAATTTTATCGAAAAAATGAATTTCGTAGTAATTATTATGTTACAGCTGGGTATGCGTGTAGTTTCTCAGGGTATCTTGAGTAGAACCTTTCCCTTAGCTCAGGGTCGTGTAGATTATCCCCTTCCAGCTGGTTCCCTAGAGTCAGCCAGTTTGGTTGGCAGTTGTGCTGTCGTCCGAATAATTCTATTTTTCTGGTCCCTGGGGAAAGTCTTTCAATGACTCCGTATATCTCATCTGGTTTTCTGCTTGTGGCTCTGACTTCAGCCACAATGACATCTGTGTCAATTCCTCTGTTTACCCCCTGGAGGTTCCCTTTAGCTCCTACAAGACAATGCTCCTGTAGAATTTAAGAAATAATAATATTAAAATTGAGAAATATTTGTGATCGTTTTAAGTAAAAATTACAAAAAAAAAATAGGAAAATAGGAAATGATTTTGGGCAAAAAATTTTAGGCCAAAATTGGCTTAAAATTTATAGCAAAAAAGGCATCAATATGTATCAGTAAAAGTTGTAAACTTTTACATAATAAACTCACTTTCCCATGGTTTATCCAGTGCCCAGTTCTGCCAGTTCTAATGAGTCTCTGAAGTTGATTAGTTTTGACCCAAACTAGTTCATCGATCCTCTCGTAGCCCCACAAGGTAAGGCACTCTCTTCCGAGCTCCATAGCACGGCCTGTTACCCAGAGGAATATGAACCCATCATCTTGTAAGGAGGGAATGTCCAGCTGTCTCATCTCATCATCGCTCATTGTACCTTGAAAATAAACAAAATAAACATAATCACTCTCCTATCCTGTACAGCAAAAACCCATTAGTTTAATTGTCACGAAATCTGTGACAAATAAAAACCCATTAGTTCCAATGTCACGAAATCTGTGACAAGCTAAAAACACATCAGTTCCATTGTGACAAGTAAAAACCCATTAGTTTCAATGTCATGAAATTCGTCACAAGTAAAAAATAGCTAATAATACATTATTCCCATACAAAGCAAAGAGATCGTACCATAAGGCAGCTCCATATGTATATCCCAGGGTGGGTCAGCCATTACGACAGCAAACTTTCCTAATACGGAAGTGTCAAAGTTCCTCAGGTCACAGTTAAGCCACTGAGGAGGTACCAACTTGCTCCCAAGGGACTGTAGTGATGGGCGTGGCTTGATCCCGCCCTTACGGGACTCAGTTTCTTGTGTCTGGTCAATCTCGTAATGTACAAACTTACAAGACTCCATGTGGAAGCAGGTGTTAAGAAAGGAGCAGTCGCCTAGACTCTCGTCTGTGTGCGATTGTATGATCCTTCGGAAATGTAGACGGGGACAGGCACGCCCACTCCTACTCACTCTACGACAATCCTCACGGGTTTTTTGAGGACAGAACTCTCTTAGCTGCGACCCGCCAGCACTCTGAAACTTTTGTTTAATCAATTGTTCCTGGTAAGACTTTGCCGTGAGGAGTTCTTGTATTTCACTACCAACTCGTTTGGTTTCTTTGTCTCTCACCGATGGAGCATTCAGTAGGTACTCAATCTCTTCAGGGTCAGTCTTGAAACGAGGAATGTTACTCTGACGAAGGGAGAGGTTCTTCATTTCAATGAGTCGGGAGATACTCTCAAGATTAATGGACGTTATGGTGTACCCGTCAGATTGGAGACAGATGAGGTCCTGCCCATAGAGTTTCTGGAGTAAGTTCGGAAGGTTTTCAAAATCCGTTCCGGACATTTCCAATAGTTTGGTTCCTTGCGTAGGTATCTCAAGTGTAGGATTGAGCAGTGCATAAAGGACTCTTTGTTCTAATTTTGGATCTATCTCTGAAGGAAGAAGGACTTTCTCGTCCTCGTATTCTTCCGTTCTCCTCTGGATACGTTCCTGTCTATGCCTCCTCTTGTTTCTTACCTTCTTCATAAAGCTCTTGTGTCTTGCACTATGTTTTGTTTTACTCCTCCAGGTGCGACTGCTATCATACCTATCAGAGATACCATTTGCTTTCACTTCTGCTTGATATTCTCGCACCATTTTGGAGGTGTGGCTGAACATTAACCACGCCTTGTTAATTAATTATCCAGTCCTAGCCACACCTACTTTTTATTTTGCCTTTCAGAATGGCTCAAGTTGTTGAGCTGCCCTTGTGCCCTGTCCGCCATGTCGTGGTGTATGCTGATAGAGCTGAAGTCACGAGAGAGATTAGCCTCAAAGATGTAGAGGCAGGAGAAAATGAGGTGACCCTCAACAACATATCAAAAGTCATTGACAAGTGAGTGAAAAAAAAGAAAAGATATCTACTTTATGACTGCTACCACTGCTATAACTTGCTTTAATGGACTGTGTGTGTGTGTATTATTATTATTAATATTATTATTAGGGATTCTGTTCGTATTGATGGAACAGGGGCTGCATCAATAATGGAGGTATCATTTCAAGACATACCTGTTACTGAAGAGCAAGACAACCAATCTGAGCTGAAGGTGGATAGTTAGTATAGTATTGTAGCTCAATATTGCAGTTTTTAAATGTACAGTAATCACTTATAGTACTACCCTCCTTATAAGGAGGTGACACTATGCTCATAAATTACTTAATACCATTGAGCACACCCAACTGTATGGATTACCTGCTAATTAATTGGGTTTACTGATTCCTTGTTCACTGTTTCTGCAATAAAATGCACAATATTTTGTATTTCAAAGAGTTCTTGCATCATCATGGACTCCTGCTATTTTTAAATCATGATTTTACTTAAAATCATGTTAAGTAGTCAATCTTTAGATAATGTGTCACTAATTACATTATTGTGTGTATAGTTTATTCTTTTAATTATTTTTTCCTTCTCTCTCTCTCTCTCTCTCTCCTGTAGGATGAAGTGCATCAGTTAGAAGAGGAATTGACAGAATTGGACAAAAAGTTTAACATTTCCACAAAAAGAAAAGACAGGCTGGAGGAGCAAACAGATCTCCTTGATAAGTACACAAACACTTTAGTCTCCTCTGGTAAAGGTGCTGGGCCAGTTGAGCTTGTCAGCAGAGACACAATAGGTATACTTAAAGAAGATCTTTTTGCTCATTGTATTGTTCTTTTAAGAGATTAGAGTGTTATAGATGGTATTTTTGAGGATGATAAACTTTAAACTTTCTGCTATAACATAGGGGTTTACATTTAATATAGCTATGCAATGTAGCTTTTTAGTTTTAGTTACTCTATTATTATGAAGAATAACAAATTGGAGTGTTTTGTATTCACAGTTATTCATCCATTCATTATTCAGATAATGTCTTCTCTTTCATGGACACTTTTGAAAATGAGTCGATGGAGCTTATGACAAAGAAGACTGACAACGAAGAAGAGAGAAAGAAATTGAGCAAAAGGAGAGAAGAAGTATCTGTTTAAATTCTACCTTTTATCATTCTTTAAATTAATATGGTCGGTAGGTGAAAAATAGACTCTCAAATCTGAAGCCAAAGATAAGGACGGATGAGAATGCTGTCATCAAGCAAACTGTGATTGGTATTATGCTAGCAGTTAAGGAAAGAGGAGACATTAAGCTACTGGTGAGAAGATTGATGAAAAGTACATGTACTTTTAGTTTTGGCATTTTCAATTATTGCAATTAAATTACTAACAATAATGATTCTGAATACAAATTTTTGAGTTATGAACATTTGAAAATCATTTTAAAAAATTTTATGACACCTTTCTCTTCCCTATTGCCCAGGTATCCTATGTTGTTACCAATGCTCACTGGACTCCTAAGTATGACCTGCGGGTGAATAGTGCAGACAGGACAATGCAAGTCAGTTACTTTGGAATGATAGACCAATACACTGGGGAAGACTGGTAAGATTCACACTCCACTTACTTATAAATGAAATAATTTAAATGAAACAAACACTTTGACGATGACAATTAGTTCTTGATATTGTTTATGTTATACTTTCTAGTTTATCCTATCTTTAACTTTCCTTTTCTATTCCTCATTCTTTCTCTTTCTCAGGAATGATGCTAAAATATCTTTGTCAACAGCTTCTCCTAATGTTGGTGGCACTCCTCCTGAACTGTCCACACTTCATCTCAATCTCGTCCATTTTAATGATTCAGCTCAAAGGGAAAATTACTACAGGGTTAGTAATGGGTATATCCCTGAATCTCATGATGTACTATCATCTTCTTTTCCATTAGAGAAACTTTGGTAACAGGTCTAATGACGATGATTATGATAGGCTTAGAGCATTGCCTGTTGCACCTCCAGGTAAACAAAATGGCGGATTATATTTTGATGATTTCAGCATAGAATCTCCAATTGTTGCAATGAAACTGTATGTATTATTTCTTTTATGACAGGTGGTAGTTTTGATAACTCAGTTTTTGGTGGAGTTAGTGGCAAGTTATCAAGTGCTCCAATGGCTAATCCACAGGCACAGGTTACTGAAGGACTAGCTAGTAGTGTTTTTGAAATAGTTGCATCAGCTTCTATACCGAGTGATAATTCATCCCATAAGGTAAGAGAAAGAGAATGAAAGGCTATTTATTGCATGTAGATCTAGCACAATAAGTACTGCAGATTCTATTTTTAATTTTTGTTATTAAAGGTATCCATTGCTACAATTGATCTGAAACCAACTTTTGAGTACGAAACAGTCCCAAAACTCTCCCAGCATGCGTTCCTTAAAGCAAAAGTGAAGAATGAGTCACAGTATCCTTTACTGGCCGGACCTGCTAATGTCTTCTTGGATCAATCCTTTGTCACTAAGACCTCATTGAAATCTGTCTCACCTAATGAAGAATTCTCTTGCTCCCTTGGTTAGTGTGTACTAGTGTGAATTGTTTATTTTATTATTGTTCCATTTAGGAGCTGATCCGTCCGTCAAGGTTGTGTATAAGCCAGTTAGTCGCGTGAGAGGAGAGAGCGGGTTGATCAACGTTAGTGTTAACTTCCTCTACACTCAAATCACTGAAATCACAAACACCAGAAATGAGCCAACAACCGTCCTATTCACTGATCAGATTCCACTGAGCAGAGACGAAAAGCTTAAGGTATTAATGATGTGAAAAAGAGGATCGATTAGACAGAGTAGTTACAAAGTTTCTCTCGAGTTAGAGAGACATAATATATATATGCAGCCATTACAATGTGTTTTTTCTGTTTTGTAGGTAACTCTGCTGGAGCCAAATATCATTAAAGGGAAACCAGGTCAGCCGCCCCCCAATCCTAACTTGACTCCAGTTAATCATGTGACCTGGTCCCTTGATTTCAAGCCATTTGAGACAAAGAGGCTACTGATACGATATTCAGTGGAATATCCTAAGAATAAACGCATAGAAGGTCTGTAACTTTTGAGCTTTTATGCCTGATTAAGGAACTATAGTTAGCTTATTTTAATTCACTTTGATTTTACAAGAATATAATTTTTTTGAGATAATTTTGAATGAGGCATGACTCTCTTATGGGATGAGCTGCAGAAATAGCTTCTTATGATTTGTTTTATTGCATTCATGGTCACGTTATTTTGTGTGGACTAAATTTCAACTGCCCATAAATTTAATAATATTTAAAGCCTGGACACAATGAATACTATATAGCTCTACATGTCAGCAGTACAGAAATAGAATCATAGGATAGAGTGCATGTTACAATCAAAAAATGTAGAACAGCAGAAAAATGCATCTTATACAGTGCATGCATGCTGTGTTAGAGGGAGCAGAAAAAAGCAGTGTATAGTGCCTATAATAATACTAAGTTTTATCAGTAGTTTTACTTGACATAAATCTCATATAAACCTACTGGTGAGTCTTCTAGGTCATTTTGATTTCCACAGATTCTAAGCTCAATAGGGTCGGTGATGGAGACATTCCCAAAGTCCCTATAAAACCAAGGCAGGGTTTTATTGGTGCAACAATTTGTCTCCAATGTGCTGCAACCTTCTCCATCCCACAAAGGATCATCTGTAAAGAGCTGGTTAAAGATACCAAAATGAGGATTACCAGATTCACAGTAGTAGTTATCGCCAATAAAACCTGGTACTGTCTGTACGCTTCCTTGACTGCATGGGCAGTTGTAAAACCCTCCATCGATGTTATTCTGTCTGAGTCCAGATATTAGTGTCCATATGTGGTTACGAGGTGATCCATATGTTATGCTAATCCCATCAAGGTAATGGCTGTTAATATTACCGTTGCTTCCAAGAAGTCCTTCAGTTGAACCATACTGATATCCAATCACCTTTCCACAGACTTTGGAGTAGCTTAAGTGAGTTGGAGTGAAAGATGTACCTGTGCAACCAATTTGGTTACTTTGCCTTCCACAAGCTCTCACACCTCCAGTTTGATAATACTTAAAACCCGTGGGGCAATTAACTGTCCCGTCTGCCATATTGAGATAAGCGAGTCTTGTCCAGCCGCCCCCTTGACCACAAAGATTGTCCATATTGCAGTAAACATTTTCACTGTTGATGTGGTAGTAGCCTGAAGGACTGTTGGGCTGTGCATTGTATACATCAAGACAAGACAGAGTTAGCAGGGAATTGAGTAGCTGAGATGCATTTAATATCTGATTGACTCCAATCAGTATGTCATTCACAGACCCTGCAGTATTGATAGTAGTTCCTTCAATGGTCGCAAGAGAACCGATTATATCAGCTGTCTGATTAGTAGCCTGGTTCGAAAGGTCTTGTAGTTCCTGGAAAAGCTCAAAGAATTGGTTAGTATTGAAGGCCATGCTGCGGTTGAAGCGTTGATTGAGCCATGCCTGCATCATTTGGGTGTCATTGATTCTGCCATCAATAGAATTGATCATTTGAGCTATGTTAGAGTATTGGTCACTCACAAAAGTACTAGTCGTTAGAGAAGCTGAAGGAGTATCATTCACTTGATTAAGAGTAGCACTAACTATAGCTAGTAGAATTATATTTAATGCCACTAGTATCACTAGCAAGCCAACAACTAGGAGGCACTGGAACTTTTCGAAAGGTACACTTGCTATGTGCATCTTTCTCTGCACATTAAACTCCTTTATATTTCCATCATGATCAACTTTCATTTCTTGGGAATTTTTGTTTTTTGCAGCATAGTCCTCCTTGGAATTAGTCTTGCGCTCGTCCCAAGCAACGGGGCGGGACGAGACTACCTTGGAATCTGCCATTCTTCTTTTGATCTTCTCTGCACAACTTTTGCAAAAAATTCAAATGAAGAAGAGTTTGGGTGGTATGCCACACAAACTTTTATAGGAAACATTAAGCTCATTATTATGCAACATGGCAAGCATGAATGTGGGAATAATCTGAGGTATCTTATTAGAGAGGTGTGGTATCATAAATGTAGCTGACTCAATCATACTTTTAAAGCAAACAGGTCTACATTGTAGCTATGATTGTAGTGATTGTACCTCGATTATGTTGAAGATATTGCTAGCAGTCTTTCTCCTGTTCTCTTCAGTGAGACACTCGGTCTCTTATCGTCCAGTGATTGTGATGCATGGTGTACTCGCTGGAGCATCTGACATGGACTCTTGTTCACTTCACCTTGCCACAGCCAAGAGTTTGTGATTGATTCATGAATGATTTCAGTTCTGATCTGGTCTAACTGTGACCAATGACCACTTCATTAATCATTACCTGAGCATTACCATCATCTTCTCCTAACTCTCCTCGTTTGCTCTCCTTTTTCTTTCCTTTTCTTCTCTCCTCTCTTGTTTTGACACCTCTCCCTCCTCTAGGTGACTGATATTAGTGATTGCAATTAATTAAAGTATCTACTTTAATATCAAGTATCTTGATAGTACATCAGCTGGATGAATTAGCATCTTTAATTATTATTATTATATATTAACTTTACAATGCACAGAACAATTGGAAGACAAAATGTATAAGAGAAAGGGCAGAGGAAGTTTTACAAGGCTAGCCAGCAAAACAAAAACAAACAGAGAGAAAAGAAAAAGAAAGAAAAAGAGAAAGAAGGAAATAAATAATTAATAATTAAAATAACAAACGACTATATATATATATATATATATATATACACACACTTGCTAAAAGCACTAAAATTATTATACCCACCCTAAGGTATGTTTTTTCTCTATTTTTAGGTAACTCTGCTGGAGCCAAATATTATTAAAGGGAAGCCAGGTCAGCCACCTCCCAATCCTAACTTGACTCCAGTTAATCATGTGACCTGGTCCCTTGATTTCAAGCCAAGTGAGACAAAGAAGTTACTGATATGATATTCAGTGGAATATCCTAAGAATAAACGTATAGAAGGTCTGTAGCTTTTGAACTTTTATGCCTGATTAAGGAACTATAGTTAGCTTATTTTAATTCACTATGATTTTACAAGAATATAATTTTTTTGAGATAATTTTGAATGAGGCATGACTCTCTTATGGGATGAGCTGCAGAAATAGCTTCTTATGATTTGTTTTATTGCATTCATGATCATGTTGTTATTTTGTGACTAAACTTCAAATGTCCATGAATTAAATAATATTTAAAGCATGCACAATGAATACTATATAGCTCTACATGTCAGCGGTACAGAAATAGAATCATAGGATAGAGTGCATGTTACAATAAAAAAATGTAGAAATACTTTTGACTAGCAGAAACAATGGAGCTAATACAGTGTATGCATGCTACAGTATGTTAGAGGCAGCAGAAAAAAGTACCTATAATATAACACTAAGTTTTGTATCAGCAGTTTTACTTGACGTAGATCTCTACTAAACCTACTGGTGTGTCTTCTAGGTCAGGTTGATTTCCACAGATTCTAAGCTCAATAGAATCGGTGATGGAGGTGTTTCCAAAGTCCCTATAAAACCAAGGCAGGGTTTTATTCGTGCAGCAATTTTGCTCCAGTGCACTACAACCTTGTCCATCCCACAAAGGATCATTTGTAAAGAGCTGGTTAAAGATACCAAGATGAGGATTACCAGATTCACAGTAGTAGTTATCGCCAACAAAACCTGGTACTGTTTGTACACTTGACTGACTGCACGGGCAGTTGTAATACCCTCCATCGATGTTATTCTGTC